TGCACTTTCTCCAACCACAGCTAGATTCATCCGAATGCAGTGGCACTGGAGAGCCTCTGTCTCACCTGTCAAAGCTGAAGAACGTGGTTCCAAAGACCACCATGAGTCCATGGAGAAAAGCCACAGTGCTACAGCTGTTATTGATAAGCAGTCTCTACAGGAGAAAACACTTCAAACAATAAAGCAAATCATCCTTAACAGAGATACGGACAGACAGACAATATACTAATGTTTAAATGGTGAGATGACAAATACTGTGGCCGGTCTGAAACAGTAGCCATTTACATAACTGGGAGTACTAAGAAAGAATCTTTCAAAACTAACACTAGTCTCTTCTGTTCTTCATAGTCTCTTCTGTTCTTTATCTCACACAATTGCTATACATTATTTACCAATTTGAAAACTCTCTCATCTTCCCTTAAATATTTGAAAATCTCCCTTATAAAATCTCAAAATTCATCTAAATTACTAATGTACTAAATTCATCCAGATTACTAAAGTCTGACAGTTAAGAGCACAGGAAATTAAGACTTGAAACAGAAACTCTAGGGATATTAAAACCTGTTTTTCTTTTATAGAAGATATCTTCGTATCTTTTTCAATGACATTATAGAATCAGTTTTTCTGCTTCAGACTAACCTCCCTTTAGTAAAGCATATAGACTGGCCAGGTAAGCTATAGGTAGGTTACGATAACTTAAAAGCAAGAAAAACAACTACTTTGGAAAGAAAATTGCCTCCAATGAACACTTTGAACCCCATGTCAAATCTGGCAATAAAAACCAACTTAAGATGCAAAGAAATATACCTGGCTGGGTAAAGAGTTTAAATAAATATGATGAACATCTCATAATTTAACTTATTTTTCTTACTAGATGACAACATTCTCGAACCCTGTATAATACTGCAATGATTCAATCAAAAAAGAAAATGTGCCCTTTTGTGTCTCTTCCAGGAAAGTGAATATCCAAAAAGTTCTCCTTATAGGAGAATTTCACCTACAAGCAAGAACCATAGCACAAAGGCTCCAATGTGCTATGATGTCCCAGTTTCATTCACTATATTCTCTAAGTACAAAGGTTCCAAAAGATTAGTTTCACTTTTCCCTAGATATATTTAGTACGTTAACTAGTATCGCAGGGATATTATTTTTCTTTGGTTTTGTCAGTAGCATGTTTGATATAAATTTTATTAAGTGGTAGTATATGTAACATTGCATTGTGGGTAGGAGTTTCCTGCTTTACCCTAGCCACATCCTCAGCTGTCATATGAGCATGTTTCCCATATTTTCTGCAAGTTCTCGCCTTTTTTTCTCCTTGGAAAAGTGACAGCAATAGAAGATGAATTGTTTTAATAATTATAAGAAACATGAATTATTTATACAGTAACATTAAACAAGTATGGATCACTATGTACTTTGAAAAACTGTCCAAGGGAGAAAAAAGTAATCCTCACAATTAAAGTCCTAAATTCGTGTGAAATAATGTTAAAGTAAATTAACACAGAGGAAGGACTTAAAATTGTTAAAAGAAAGAAAATCTCTGTAATCAGATGCCAATACCACCTAACAAATGAGGTGTACTATATCAAGCTATAACGATAATTCGCCTTGAATGTTAGAAGCTGCAGACCTCCTACGTATTCATTAGTGAAGATTAATGTCAATATCGCCTACAAAGACCTTAAGAATCTACTTTGAGATTTTATAGAAATGTCAAAACAGAGAAAGAGAAACCAGAAAAGCCTAGAGGAGAAAGGGAAGAAAGTGGGAGGAGTGGAAAGGGAAAGAGAAAGGGAGAGAGGGAAACAGAAGTTAACTACTTTCTCTTTAGGCATCCAATTTCCACATCATCTCACGGTCAGCCAGAAAGCTGCTTATACCAACCAAATGAAGTTGTTCAAACAATCATGGATATGGCAGTGTTTTGGGTTTTCATAAAACTGAAAGACATTGCAGAGGAAAACAAAGAGTACTCCCATTACAAAAAATATCACATTTTATACAATACATATATATACACACACCACATAAATGTTTTAAAGTACCACAAAATAATACCTTGTACATACATACAACAGCACACGTGTGTGCAGTTAACATGGATATATATCCCATTAAAATAAGAAAGCAGAATTAAATCTCTCATAATCATCATAATTTAAAATATTAATAAAATTATATGTATTTTACTAATATAAACATTTTTCAAAGCATCAATATAAGATCCAGTAAATTCTATATATGTCTCAACAGCTATACATTAAATCCAAAAAAACTGTCAAAAAAATTGCCACATACCACACTGAAACAATAAATTAAGAAAATTCCCTGTTGAAACCTCATAATCAATGAGACCATTTTAAGCCAAAATAGGATTTCTACAATTTATACCACTCCTACATCAAACCTATTTTGCTTCTACTGTTCTCAACTAAAAGAAAAATAGAACAGCAACAAATAGAAGTTTAAAACAATTTAAAAAAAAAACATAGAAATGGGCACAAGACTGACAGTGATAAAATGACTATTATAATAGGGTCATTAATTCAGAAAATTTTAAAAATGATTCAAAAGGTAACAATGAAGCTATATGTAGTATTTAAAACATTACAGTGTTATATCATCTAACAATATACAATATAAAAAGTTCAACCAATGTTGACAAACTTATTAAACATAAGGTAATGGGGAAGCAAAATTACTTTTGTGAAACTATTTTCAAGTTCAAAGCTATATTTCATTTCCATGGCATTACAATACATAATTTATACAGCAGACTTAAATTCATTACTTACTTCAACATAATACTCATACATCCCCCCAAAAAATGAAGTTTTGAGGGTCTTTATAAAACAGACGACAAAAACAAACCCCTGTGGTTTTCATTTCTGATGTGAATCATAATCAAGAGCTTTATCTGCAATGACTTTGCTGAGTCAGTCTCTCTTCATCATATGTGGTAAGCTATTTCTAATGAAACAAACTGTCAATTATCAAATGTGTGTGTACCTGTTATCACTATTGTTTTTAAATTTTTACCCCAAAGTAATATTTACTCCAAAGAGGAAAGATTTTCAATTTAGAAAAAGAAAAAAATATATGGATGTGTTTTTGTGTGTGCAGATAATGAATACACAAACTTTAAAGCTCATGACCTCACTATGTTCTCCAGTCAGAATGAGATGGGCCTCACCCAGAGCAGAAAGGTCATAGTCAACAATATCTACTAAGCTATTAAGCAGTAAGAGAGCTTTATTCTGACCTAAAAATTATGTGCAGAAGGGTTACCTGCAAAAGAGAACAAGCAGTTAAGAGACACATAGATGTTAGAAATTATTCAAACACACACACAGTTAATTTAGAGGGTAAAAGTACACTTAATTAAAAAAAAAAAATTTTAAGGGAGAAAACATTTAGCAAAAAGTTGGGGTTACAAGATGTCACGGAATCCAAACTGGAAAACTCAATCTGAAAAGAAAAAAGCATTTACTTATCAGACTACTATATTTTTTTCAATTGCCTAATTCTGTGCTATTGTATGAGCATATGGAATTAAGCTTGAAAACTCCACAAATAATATGGACAAAGCTCTCCTTTAACTTACTTTAGATATTCATTAGAGCTATGGATCCCACTGCACGCCTTCTTTAAGAAAGAGAATCAATGAATGACTTTTCTCTTTTTGTACGAGTAACTGCATGTTAAATGAAATCTTTTAGTTTTCAATGTAAAATCTGTTTACATACATGATGAGGCATGATAAATCTGTATTTTGAATAAAACACTAAAATGTATTTCTTTGATCACTAAAAGTTTATTATGGAAAAGTTCTAGACATTTGAATAATAAAGGATTAAAGTCATTTTCATGTCCTCCCAGTGTATTTTGGTGGAATTATTTTTTTCTAAGAAACTTACGAACACATTAGTACATTTATCTTTACCGAATATAAACCAAAAGCAGATATTGAAGTATGCTAGAATGACCACACGAAGGGGCATTTTGGCTCTAATATCTTCCTTAGTATTTCCCAGCCCTACCCCATTATACACCCTGAATAATGTTGTGTAATTCACTGTCTCCGCCCACCCTCCCAGTCATTTACTTCATGCCACTCCTGGTTACTATCACACCAGGAAGAAGTCTAACATGCAAATTCAGAGTGGCGTGGATAAATGGCCAAAAAATGCCTAGAAAATTGGTCTGTTCAGCTTGATAATTTTTGTTGAAAAATACCCCATCGCTCTCAACTGATGAAAACAGGAAGCTCTATTCATAAATATGAAATTCTCTGCCTATGATATATAATCATCCTAATAAGAAAATGAGTTCTATACATACATGTCCAAAGGGGCAAAAAAGGAGATAGTTTCCCAAAGATGTTTCCAATTTTCTTCTGAATCAGAATTAGCAAATCGAGACGACTCACATACTCTGTGAGCATTATTCCTTACTACACACAGCATTTTGTAATTTATTTCAAAGCTTCTATTATAAACAAAAAATACAGCTTCTGTTAACCCACTCCATTCTGAGCTCAGAAAAATCAATAACATTTAACAATCTAAGTTACAACAGAAGAATTTTACTTTATATTTGTATAATATTTGCTATCAAAGGCTCTGTTAAAGCTAATATCCAAAGAAACTATTTAAAGGATTATACAAAATGAGTATATTTCCTTGAAAAATAAAAAATTATTATAAGCATAAAGAAAAGTAAGATCCATCCAATAAACTATGCTATAATTCTTGCTATTCATTTTTATAAGATACTCAAACTAGCCATGAGATAAAGGTAAATGTAATACAAAATGTACTAATTATATTTCATCTTTATTGTAGGAGCTGGCATCTAATATTGATCATACATAAACTAGACAGACATGATTTAATATTTGTAAAGGAATTCCCAGACTAACACTTTCATGACAGCCAATTACAGTCAAGCCCAGCAAGCAGTTTGCAACCAGACCTTTAAAAAGGTAAACTTTTTTACAATGAGTTACAGATTCACGAGTTTAAGAAGACAAGAAAAAGAAAAACAGAAGGACTCCAATCACCCAGCAAATATGAAGCAGACCCCAGAATGTGATACAGTCCAAAGATGTAAATTATTGTAAATCATCACTGTTGTTCAGGATTTCACACACCACCTCTTGAGCCAATTTTGCTCACTTCTCCACAGACACAATAATGAACCAAATAAAAGGAGGCACCAAAAATATAGGAGGGGGGGATAGAAAAGAAAGCCCCCAACTGCAGAGCTCTGCTCCACAGACGCTTAACCTTACAGGAGTTTGGGCTCCTTCAGCATTTGTATTCTATCCAAATCCTCATGAGTCACAAAAATTAAAAAGCTATATCCTTCTGGATGCCAGGAAGGGCCTTACCACAAGCCTTTTGTCAGAGGGAGAGAGAGAAAGAGAGAGCATGAGCAAGGGGGGGAAGCCACAGTGGAAGGCAGTCCCACTTGACTGAGTGCTGTGAGGTCACAAACCACATGATTCTGTCTCTCCAGTAATAGTGCTTGCAAAAAAAAGGACTTTGAAAGCTTTTGCTTTTTTGGATTGTGTGAATGCTTCATTCGCCTCACAAACAACCACAGAACCACAAGTGCGGTGCAAACTTTCTCCAGGAGGACAGCAAGAAGTCTCTGGTTTTTAAATGGTTAATCTCCGCAGGTCCCTACCAGCCACCGAGACCAACAGAGTCAGTGAGTGCTCTCTAAACCACAGTCTATGCAGTAATAGTAGGTCCTTCCAATATTTGCTCATTCTCTTTTTTGTTTTGTTTCCTTGCTTTTCCCATGCTACCAGCTACATAATTTCTTGACAGAAAAAAAATAAATATCAAGTCTATGTACTGCAGGCATACTGTAAAACTAAAACAAGGTTTGGGTATGGTTTGTGTTTTCAGTTTAAGGCTGCAAGCAGAATTTACAACAGAGGGTACAAGTTCTATCTGAAAAAAAGGAGGGACTATGGCATCAAACAGCCTCTTCAGCACAGTGACACCATGTCAGCAAAACTTCTTCTGGGGTAAGTGTTATCATATTTTAAAATCCTATCAGAGATGAACCTGTTAAACAGAAAGGTATGTTGCTCGGATAAACTTGCTAGCTTCGCCGGCTAACATTATATGAAAGGTCATAATGATGCTGTTTTGTTGCACTGAAAGCTGAAAAATGAAATTGCAGTACAAATGTGCTTCTGGCATCTGTAACTTATCTACTTCTCGGGCTAATGACTTGAAATAGAAAAAAATTAAATTATCTCACATTAGTCTAAATGTTTTCTAGGGTTATAGAAATGAGGTAGCTGAAACAGTAAAGCAAAGCTTAATATTCTCATTAGCCCTCACTGAAATAAAATTAGACACTAAATTAGTCAAAGTATTGTGAAAAGTATTCATTCCGGCAGCTCCCAATATTTGAGCAAACTTTAAAAAGGAAGCAATTTTACAAAATAACAGATCACAGAAGTATCTTGACATTATACTCAAGCATGCAAAACAGAAAGAAACCTGCAGTATGACTAACATTTTAACCAGCTCAACTAAAAGATATCTATTTATAATTTTAAACTGCATCATAAGCTATCTGCACAAGCTTGTTTCTAAACAATTTTACAGAACTAAAGCATATATTCAACTGAAAAAAATTATGATAAGTATGTAACAGCCATTTTTAAAAACTCTTTATAGTTGCCCAGGAATCCAAGATATTAAAAAGCTCACAGAAGTCTTCAAAAACTTACATGCAATCATAACTTTCTATATAATTTTCATTTACATCTATACACTATTATCCATATGTAGAACTTGTTATAAACACACAGCAAACATCGAAACGTCTAGGATTCTTTTAATCATATTCTTGAACCTACCAAGTGAGTTATCGTTTAGTCTCATAAAAAGGAAAATTCTGTAAGGATACTCTGCATGATTTAAAAGAGCCAGACCAATTAAGTCAACCTGGACTTTAAATAAAACAGGCATAATATGGTATTAATATTTAATTTCCAGTTAGTGTTGATACAAAAAGTAAACTACTTTAACATTCATCAGCTAAGATGGTATTCTAGTAAAATAGCTAAACACTTACAAGATTTTCTTTATGATGTCCAACATGTTCTACAAGACAAGTTTATAAAATTTTCTTTATCCCTTAAAATAAATCCTTTTGCTGTGTATACCTGTATTAACTTTGCTTTATAACTTACAACTAACGATTGGAGTTTCCTTTACTCCTCCTACTTCACACATTTTAACTGGCTACCAGAGGATCAGTCTTAGTTTCGGTTAAAGAGAAATAATTAAACCTGAAGGAGAAAAAAGGTTTCTCTTAAAAGGGTGAGGAAATGTACTATGTATTTTACCAAAAAATGTAAAACTGCTGAAGTGACTCCTCAACAACTCTAAGTGGACCCCCCTCAGTTATAGCACATCCAATATAATAATCACAGATTATTTTTTTAATGTAATGGAAGGTAATAAGCGTTACTATAAAAACTTCTGCATTAAGGAAGCAGAACATATACACAACTAGACTGCATTAACAACTCTTATAATTATAGTTTCTATGTGGAAACTTTTGCTGTTCCTACTCAAGAAGAGGGGAAAAAAATGCTTAAAACGATTGTTATATGGAGGGATAACTTGAAACAGGCACCTCAAGAAGTTAAGTTACTCTTCACATTATTACTCTGCTTTAAAAATATAAAGACTTTTCAAACCAGATCAGGAACACAAATTTCAAGCACTATTTCAGCATTAGATTTAAAGTTATTAATATAGTCACAAAAATATGTTAAAATGTCCTTTATTCTATCATGTCAGGGAGTCTTATATTTCTGTAACATCTTTAATAACTACTTCTAGAGTAAAATTTACCAAAACTTGATCAAGTTAGAAACAAGGCAGAACAGTGAATTAAATAATCTTCTATCACACGTCATACATGCTTATACATCATAACTTAAGTCTTCCTCTTCTGGAAAGTGGAATTTACCCCTTCCCGCACCCAAACAGTATTAGAGAGCCTGGATAGAGAACATAAAATGAACCCACTTCACCAGACTAATTACAGGTGGGTGGTGGACAGGAGGTACAGGGTATCATCACACTCCAAACATTTCCCCCTTCCGGAATCTATCTGAAGTCTGAAACCTCATGTTAGGCTTTAAATTTTTACATAACTGATCACCAAAATAACCTAATGAAATGTCAAAAGTATGTACTCCAATTTTGTAAAATACTTTTAAAAGTTCAGGCTCTTCCTAGGTGAGGGACAAAGCTGACCAACTGCTTCACCTCAAAATAATGAGGGAAAAGTGAGTGAGTGTATGCGTGAGTGTGTGAGAGAGTGTGTTTATGTATGAATTTTCAATCTGCGCTACTCAAAATCTGTTCATTATTTATCATAAATGAAGTCTGTTAAAATAAATAGATGTAACTCATGGAGTATCTTACCATTAAAAACTTACTTATGAAAATATATCAGCTGACAGACAATTTCTACATAAAACTTCACAACTGATCGTAGTGTCCGACAGAACGTGATGTGTGAAGACTGACTTCCAAAACAATACTTGTGGTTCATATCAATGATAGTGACTTTAGTTTCAAGATTGAATAGCAACAAAGTGTCACAACTTGCTTCTAAAATAAGAGCGCTAAACTCCAAAATTCAGGGAGATGATTTAAAAAGAACATACATAGAGGATCACTCCTATTAAAAACTAACAAAACTGATGCAATTTCCAAAGGTACTTACAATGAATTATTTTACATAAGAGTAAATAATCATAATTTTACATGAAAAGTGGTAAAGATTTCACATTTAAACATTATATTTTAGAATGTAAAAGATTTAAAAGAAATCACAGAAAAAAATTTTTGTTAAGTCTATGTAAACCTCCTGATAGTCTTTAAATCACAAGAAAGCATGAAATACACATGGTTATATTATGATATATTCTAGTCATTTTAAAAGAAGAAAAAATTAATCTATTCAATTACACCCTTCAAGCTAATCACTGATAGTTTGACTTATTTAAATCAGTCACGCTAATGCTAAATTTAGTAAGATAGAAATGTTCCAGTTTGTTAAAAGAACACTGAAATATTTGATGGTTAAATAAACTGCAGAGGGGGGAGAAAACTAACTCACTGAAGGCAGTAAGATTTTATCAAACACACAGAATTAATCTTTATTGAATAGAACCATTCACAAATCAAAACTCACTGTACTTCAATACTTTCAAGCAGCGCTAATCAATTACAAACCTTTTCTAGTGCTTCAAAACTCATGTGCTTTCAATTTTGTACACTGGTGGTCCTCAAGTACTGTATTGGGGCTGAGTTAAGACATTCTGTATCACAACTTTTTTTCCCCCAACAAATATTCATCTAGAGGGCTTTTTTTCCCTTCTCAAGAGCTGCTCACATGAAAACTGTGGTAATATTTTTATACTGTACTTCTTTGTTGAAGCAAAAGGTTAGGGGTTACCTAAATACCTCAACTGTATATACAAAAAAGGGAAAAGGTAAGTATTCATATAAAAAAATCCAATGGGACTGGATTATTTATTTTTGCATTTCCTATGATTAATGATGCAACCATGCATACTTGAAAACTAATGGCAAAACAGGGTAACATCTCAAACTCCTCTCCAAAGCATACAGATACCAACCTTCCATGCTGTTCTAAACTTTGTTCCAAAAAACTTAAATGGGACAACTCTAAGACAACGGTGAGGTCATACGAAGCTCCTCAAAAGAATTAAGATTGCAAATGCAATTAATTACCTAACAGAAGTCTTTAGAGATAATTTTACATTAAGTTTCACTGGAACAGTCTACCTCTACACTGTGTCTCTGTAAAAATAATATACATATGGTCAAACAGGCAAATACCTTCAATATGAAAAATCCTTCCCACGAACAAAAAACTATAATATGATTAAAGCATAACTATTTTTCCTAGCTATTTGCCATGCAAAACTTATTAGTAAATGGGTGCTAGCAAAATCAATGCTAATTTACACAGTCTTCCTATGAGGTAACCAAAATGCACTATCTTTATCTCCTACACCAGTGAACTCCACTGAATACAAATTTTTATCCAAAAAAAAAAAGAAGCCTGTCATTAGTCTCCCATAATAAGGATAACAATGAACTCCACACTCAAGTATTTTTTAAAGACCAAAATACTTTTAAGTTGTCTAAAGTACATGGAAATGCTTCAAGAAATATGAAACACTTAGTTTTAAAACAAATTTTCAGAGAAGGAAGTTTCACATAATGAAAATATACACCTTGATACAATCTATAGCCATTTCAAAGCTTATGGAATTCAGCCAATATGTATTTTGTTTAATGTGTTACAATTCAAAAAATAATGGGTAAATTCTCAAAGGGAGCCTCCTTACAATTTTAACTACAGCTGACCACAAGCTTTTGCCCATTTAACAGCAAGCACACATACATTCCCACATAATTTTTAAAGATCTGTATAGCAACTGAGATTAAATGCTCTTTTATTACATTGTATACGAAAATCTTCATCTTATGTTGAATTCTTCGGAATTTCTCTCCTTTATATTATTTACTAAAGACATAGGATTCAACTTTGGTACAATGCTGAATGTAAGCAACACTATATCAATAATTTTGGGTGTTTACTGTTGTTGTTGAACAGGATGTCAACTCTAAGGTATATTTTTTCATAAATATGCTGTCTTACATAAATAAAAACCTCATCATTCATCAGGATATCTAAGATAACTCAAAAATAAAAGGAGCTGTAGAATTGAGTTCTACATAAGCATTTAATACATGCAGTGAAAAAACTTCATTATTTATACATCTCCTATAAATACTCTATGTTCTTGTTACTACTCATAAGTCCAACATTCAACATGCAGTTCAGGATTAAAAATCATACCACGTGTGGCTTTAGCTCTAAGTGATTTTCAATTTTCCAATCAACTGCCCACAGAATAAGGATTTCTGCACTATATACACATAAAGTGAATGCAATTTTAATGATATTTTAAGATACTTTAAAATTAGATGTAGTGATGTCAGAAAATTTAACAAGCTGCATTATTCCCAGACGTGTACTTAAGATTATGGTGGCCATTAGTTTAAAGTCTATTATCTGCATGACTTCTATTACCATCCCTTAAGAAATTATACGTAAGAGTTACATTAGAGAAGTGACAGTCCTAACAAGGTACATCTAAATAGCCTGTGCAAGACCAATAACTTTTACCACAAAACCAAATAATTTTACTTTACTTTTCAATTTTTATCATCAGTGCTATCTACTGAAATTATTATACCCTCACCTATAAAAATATATTTACATAAAAGACTTAAAAGTTAAAAACTCAAAATTTCAATATACATTTACAGGTTTGTGAAAATTATGACCCACAAGTGTGCCAAACTTTGTTTATACACTTCTTATTGTTAGATATGCCTTGTAGTCAAATATCTAGCAACTAAATCCATTGTATGGTTTGGTAAAAGCACAAGCTAAAAAAAGGAAATAAAGGAAAAATACAAGCCAAATTACAGTAACAGTAAGGTTTAAAAAATGTATATCCACTCTTTCTTTAGAAAAATTCTAATAATGATGTTGCAGTATTCCACAGAACTTTCCATTGATATGGACATATTTTTATATAGAGGTATGTATTTGCCACATATATACAACTTCAATTTCTTTCAATTATGAAAATTTTAATATGTAGTATATGAATTTGCCTGGGCATAGGCATGCATATACATAAGTGACTAGAGAAACTTGGGATAATAACTGTAAACCAGGAAGAAAATAATTATAGTTAGTTGAGGTATGGTTTGAAGTTCATTTGGAAAGATAATCAATTACTTTTTGCATGTACATTAACAGAGAAATGTTAATCTGTAAAACCAACAATAGAGATTAGGCATCTATTAGGCAATACAAGATTAAAACACACTTGTGAAAGGATGTTTTAAATAACAAGGATGTTATTTTCCAGTTATAAATTTACATTAAAAACTGGTATTAGTTAAACAAATTATTATATTTCACAAGGGAAAGTATGAAATGCAATTAATCTGTTAACAAATACCCATTTATCTACATTATATCAAAGAACAATTCTGGCCTGGTACTAAACAGGTATATTTTCTACATATTTACTCACTGACAATATAATCAAGGTAAACAATTTGGCACCATATTAATTTGGTTATTTTGATAGTAATAATTATAATTAATTTTATGTCTAACTTTTCTACTGAAGTTCCCAATTTAAACTTCAAATTTCCAAGATAATCTTCAAATGAAAAGGTATCATCATTTCTACCAAATGATTAAAAACTACTTAAATGGCTCTAAATAAAGTGAATTCACTCACTAAGAAACTGAAAAAAAAAAGGGCTGTATTTTACAATTAACATTTTTTATCCCACTGGTTTTACTGTCTTAGCATAATCTGATCCCAGAATTAGACATAAGGGTATCCAAAAGTTACAGGGCGCATGTTCCTTTTAATCAATAAAAGTTTTATTATAAGGATTTTTTGCAAATAAACCTCAAAGAAACCCTATTTTTTGAAAAGTGATTTCTCACTTTATTTTATAAATTTCTATCAGATTACTAGCACAGAAAGAAAAGTTCTTTATGCTAAGAATCTACATTATTACCAATCACTGTGCTTTCCATAAAACATATAAATGTAAAACTATACAAGCACTTCTTATAAGGACCTTAGCACCCAATTCAAAAATAATAAGACATCATAAGAAGATGTCTACGAGAAATCTCCATTAAGGCAGTAGCATCCAAAATCAGGCAAGATAGTTGGTTACAAAAGGTAATCTAGCAAGATTAATTTTTACTTCTCATGAAAATTGTAAAGCTTTTTAGGTAATTCAGCTTTTGACAAAATGCAGAAAAAATTGGTACTGCTCTTACAGAGTTCAACACAAAAATAAAAAGATTTAAGAAGGGAATCCATAAAACAGACATACTGACAAAGACAGTACACTACAGAACATCTGTAAAGCAATATAAACATGAAAGTCAACGTAATCCAAGCCTTTGATCACTAATCCAACCTACTCTCCATAGTAGAAACTCCTCTTTCTCATATTCTTAAAACTCCAGTGTTCACACAGAATTCTTTACAATCCCTCAGTTGTTAAAACTAAACACACATAATATGTTCTTTATTTTAGGAGGAAAATGTACAACCTTTTTAAAACTTTTTATCACAAGTATCCACCTTATTTTTAAAATGCTATTATCTAACCTAGATAATCAGTATTGTCAGAAGATCATCACTCTTAATTTAATAATAAAGATTTAACAATATATTTCCCTTATAATATGTGCAAGCGGATTGCAGAATATTTTAGTGTACCAATAGGACCAAGGAAAACACCTAGGGAGATTTTTTAAAAGTTATCATACACAAGTATCTAGAGAGAAAATTGAGTCATGTGATTATTAGCTTATTTTATTTTCATAAATATTCTTATTTTTAATATGATAAATCCAAATATATCAAGAGATACAATAACTATCTTTAAGAGAGCAAAATATTTGACTTAAATTGCTAAATTACTTCAGTATTAAGTGGCTAACCATTCTATATAAGTTTATGTACATAAAAAAATTTTTACTGAGACACATTCAAACTATTTTCTTAGCTACGAAATGAAATCTTGTGTTCCAACAAATAACAGTATTTTCGATAAAGCAGTTATGCACAAAGTAAATATATGTTACATGTACAAGATTAGAAATTTTGAATAATGAAACTACATTAATATATGTAACTCAAATTCTCCACTTTGATTTAAACCTTATTCTGCCAAACACATGGTCAATTCATTGTGCTTCCATCATCAGAAAACATCCAATATCCTGAATGCTGTTTTAAAGGAAACTTTAAGAAAAATTACCGTATTATTATAAGCTGACAGGTAGTTTTTGAAAAGGAGCTGTGAAAAGAGTATGATCTGAAAACTTACATATGAACTTAAAACTTACACACTCAAACATGAAATGAACAAGAGAGCAGGAAGCAAACGCATAAAATAAAACCCTAGCAACAATACCACACTAAGAAGTCAACAGTGAGCAAAGGAGAGGCACATACGCTTTTTAAAGTAAATGCTCAAATGTAAGCTTGCCTTCTGAACTGCTCACATGAACAGATAACATCCCAGTGACTACGGAATTTTCTTCTAAACTGGCAAGACTAAAAAGAATCACATCTCGTTCCTAATTTTGCAATTATAATGTGCGAATCTTTCTTTACTCATAAGACTACCATTCATTCTAAACTGGCTGGAAAGGCTCTCCCATTGCATTTTTCCTGTACGTACCTCTTCCTTATCAATTATGGTGTATCTTCAGCATTCGGAGAAGAGGGAAAAAAAAAAAACGTTTCGAACTTGGAGTTTAAAACATATCATTAAATCAATATTCACAGGGCTACTCTAAAAATATTCATTTCTAGAAGGTCAGAAAATCTTGCTTTTTTTAAGCTGATGCATCTACACATAGAAAGCAACTTTTAGTAAGTTCTTTTGCTACGCCATAATGATCTGCTCCAGAAACTCAAGGGTACCTAAAACAACGGGCTACCTGTTCTAGCCATGCTTAGGAATGTGTCCAAATCATTTTTATTGATTTAACCTTTATAGGAATGCTACATATCCTCAGAGAAAAACATTTTGAATGTATTTATAATATGATACACTTCTGAGAAACCAAGAAAAAGAAAGCTAAAAACAAATCTAGATACTCCTCCACCCTTGGTTGTTATGGGTTGATTTTTGTTTACTTTAAACACTATCAACAGACCTAAATATTACATAATTTTATTTAAGAAAACTTACTTTGGCACCCCTGTAAGTAGAAATAAAAATTTATTTTGGAAAAAAAGAGTGCATTTAAATAAATTCTAACTTTAAGAAATAAAATGCCTGACGACAATGATGTCACATCTACAAATTTTAACAGATTCTAAATACACCTTTTATACTCGAGTTTCACATTAATCATGGAACCTACAAACATATCAAACTTAAAGAATTTAGTCCTTATTGAATAAGCTAGGTTGTACTCTAGTTTACATTCTGAGAGTTTACAGAGAAAGTTCTGTGCTGCCTATCTCTCTAGCTTTCTGCAAGCAGTACTTTATTAATGGCTTCAGCAGCTAATGACTGCATTAGTTATGTTTGCCAAATAATAATTCACAATATTATGCTTCCTCACATTATGGTTCATCATTCGTTAACTTGAACCTCACCTCTAAAGGAGTTATACTTTCACTGCAAACTGTTCTCTTAAAAAGGCAAACAACTTTTGAGCATTTCCAGATGTAGCACTCAAAAAAGAAAAAAAAGAAAAAGAAAAATCATAGGCAAATTCTCAAAGAATTCTAAAATTATTAACAGAACTACAGTAAAACTGAAGTTACTACTTATTACTTCAATGATCATCCATAAGTGTAAGAGTTGAATATACTCCTTATCAAATTAAGAAACTTACGATAGAGGACTAATGATTTCAAATAGCTGCCAGTAGATAAAATAAGCACAGTTCAGTTTGAGACAAGATTCAACTGAACTGGAATTTCTGAAACTCTGACAATCACTGAACATGCAAGAATAAAATCATAATGTTATCTTTTTCCAACAGTGAACGGATTTTTTGTGGATAATATAAATTTGGGTTTGGCTACACTACTTTCATTGTGATTATTTTTATGAAACATTCAAGCATGCATAAGATTATGCTAAACTAAAATTAAAATAATTTATATGCAGTCTACTTCTCTGGAGCAGGGCTAGAAGAGAGTGAGGCAAGCAGGCAGGCGCCTGGGGTTCAGAATTTTAGGAGATCCTAACGCACAGCCCTGGAATGAGTGCTTCCTCAAACACTGTGCCCTGGGCATAGTGCTTGCCTCACTCTAAGCCCAGGTCTGCTCTGGAGCCACACGAGCGTGAACCATTTCATGAGGTATGTTCTAAGCAAGGTGTAATAAACAGAAATTTGGTAATATAAGAGTAATAAAATTATAAATAAGATTCTATCTTTATCTGATTTACATGTTTCTAAAAAAAAGAAAAAAGGAACCACTCCAACTTAAATGTAAATACTTTTTTAGTGATCATATTATAATGAATAGTTACAGTTCTGAGATGGCACAGATTTTCTTCAAAGGAGACTTGTATTTGACATAAAAACCTTTCAAAGTAAACTGCCTTATTGCTTAATTAAAAAAAAAAAAAGGCAAAGTATGTTCCATTACAGAGTTCACAGTGCTACACTTGAGTTGTCGCAGGCCAGTGACACCCAGATCTGACTGATCAACAGAATCACTTAAGGAACAGGTCTTGGGAAGGGGAGAGGGGGAGAGAGGGTCTTGGGAAATTTTTTTAAGCCAAGCTTCCAGGTAAATTAGCCAAGTTTGGGAGTCAACAGTCAACTTAGAATAAGCTTAAGACACACATAAGTTATTAAGACAAGTGGTATGTATATAAATTTCCTGTCTCTCCTATAATCATTTGTAAAGTTTATTTCACAAATCAGATAACATTCAAATTTCAGTTTGTTACTTTCCTCCCTTTCCTTCAAGTAGAGATGTTAGTCAACATTGGTGTGTCCAAGTAATATCAAAAAGGAAAATGAAATCAGAGGTACAGACAATTCAATGAGATGAATTCAGCCCCCCCAAATTAATATTTTTCTTATTTTAGGTTTAAATAAATATTCTAAGTATATAATTTCAATCTATTGTGAAAGTCTAATATTT